AAACTCGATGTCTGGGTAGAGGCCTCTATATTGCCATTTCTATTTGAAGGGCTTGTTAACATTCAGAGACCGTTGAAATGCGATTTAAATACACATAATTATTCAAATCTACATATATTGTAACGTTGTTGAAAACAACTCTTTTGAAATGAGTACATTTGATAAAATGTTAGGAAATTGAATTAAGTATATAGAAAATTTATCATCGAATTCAGATATATGGTTATACTTTAACCAGACCTTGAATGTTTAATGTCTAATTAAGTTAATATGATTCTAGAATGATTCATATTTGACATAGATTTAAGTTGATCATTTTCTAAAAGAATTTACAAAAAGAATTTTACAATAGTAGCAGAGTTTGAAATGAGTACCTACATTTGATAAAATATTAAAATATTGCATTTACATCTATTTCACATTTAAATGTAAAACTGAACATAGAATTCAGATATATGGTTAAACTTTGACTAGACCTTGAATTTTTAAAGTCTACTTAAGTTACATAATTCAAAATATGATTCTAATTATCGGATATTTGACGTCATTTAAGTTGATTATTTTCTATAAGAACTCGCATAATAAATTTGGCAATAGTTGAATTAAGAGAAAAATTTCAGAATTATGGTTAAACATTGACCGACGCTGAAATGTTTAATTCCTAATTAAGTTAATATTTGATAGCCTTCGTGGTCTAGCTAGCACTTTACTTCGGATAGTCGTCAGGTTCGATTCTCACATTTTTATTCTTGGGTACGATTGTTTGTATCGTTCTGGGTATTTTGTATGTATTAACAAAAAAAGTGTATTTAAGTATTAGTAATTAACTTAACAAATGTTGTTTCGTAATATAAATTAACATTGCTATTAAAAAGTAGAAATTGAGGTTGTAAATTTACGGTTGTACATATTTTTAATGCTGAAAAAAAAATTTCAAATAAAGAAAAAGTTTGTGCCTTGCGAGGAATCGAATCCAAGACCATCGGAAGTAAAACGTTGTTAAGCCGTTAAGAGCGAAGCCATCAATGACTATTAATAATAAATAACAATATAATAAAGATTTAGAACCATGATGTATAGGCGTAATGTAATTAAAGAAATTAAAAGAATATTAGCCCTAATTCCTATACCCTCAGTTAGTCGTAAGCACTTCTAATTCAGGTTTAAAACTCATTATGCTGTTGTAAGCTTTGCAACTTAGTAATACTTTCCTTATACCTAGGGTTGCCAGCTCTAAAATTTGGAAACCAGGACGAGACGCGTGAAATTCCCGGATTTTAGAATCCAGAACCCGGACATATCAACAGCATTTTTTAAACATAGTCAGCGTAATAAAAAACAAAAAAAAATTGTCATAAATCACCTTTTTATTTATTTTCAGACCTTAAAACTAAATATAGTAATTTGTTACCATCATTTTAAATGTACCTAACAAAACAAAATCTTATTACAGCTTGTTACAAATTGTTTTAATAATCACTTCCATTTTCTGTTCTTAAAATAAAACACTAATTACATTACTCCACACGCTACCCGGATGCCCTCTAATCCTACTAGGACATTACCGGGGAAATCGGGACGGATGGCAACCCTACTTGTACCTATTTTCCAAGCGTAAAAGTTACAAAGTTGTCACCAAATGACATAACGGACTATCATTGATATTCATGATTGCATTGCATTGCATTGCACCTCACGTGTATGTTCGTGCCAAGCGGACGCAATACACGGCCTGGAAAATGCTGAGGACACGGCAATGAACAGTCGACCTTGTTGGACATGACTTTTATATATATTGCCCATTTTTTCACGTCATAAAGCAAAATTATTGTACTTTATCCTACATGATTGTTATTGCTCATAGGTCTTTTCTTTTTTCTTTCTTTGAATACAGTCTTATTAAATCCAAATCAGCACTGTGGTTTTATCTTTGAAGATAAATATCTTAATAATATTATAAACACAAAGTTTGTGATTATAGATGGATGTTTGTTACTCTTTCACGCAACAACTACTGAACGGATTTTGTTGAAACTTTACAGTAATATACCTTATACATCAGAATAACATATAGGTTATATTTTATTGAAATTTATATACTGAAATTTAACGCGGATGAAATCGCGAGCACAGCTAGTAATACAATAACGTATTATAAGACTGTACTAATACTTATGTAATTCTGGATTTATTGACGACCTCGGTGGTCTAGCGGTCTAGCACACCGCTTTACGTCCGATGGCCGCGGGTTCGATTCCTCGCACGGCACAAACATTTGTATTCATGAGTATGATTGTTTGTATCGGTCTGTGTGTTTTCTATGTATGTATTTACGAAAAAAATATCTATGTACTTGTATCAGTTATCTAGTACCCATAACACAAGCTTTAGCTGGCTTAACTTGGGTCTAGATGGCGCTGTGTGAATTGTCCTGAGATTATTATTATTTTTATCCAAAAATTCTCATCTCCCCTCTTAAGGAGAGGAGATGGCAACATTATTATTATTATTATTATTATTATTATTATTAATTCTCTTTTATTATTATTATTTACTAGCTGTACCCGCGACTTCGTCCACGTGTAATGAACTACCTGCCGAGGTTTTCACACGTGACTACAGCATAGGGTTTTTCAAGAAGGGTATATTAAGGTTTCTTAAGGGTCGGCAACGCGCACTTGACATCCCTGGTGTCTCAGGCGTCCATAGGCCGGTAACCATGTACTATCACATGGGCCGTAAGCTAGTTTGCCACCATCGTAGCATAAAAAATACGTTAGCGATTCTAAGATATGAAGGCGTATAAATTAAATCACCACTTAACGTTATGACACTGGTTGCACTTTAATGTTATTACACCATACCTGTGCCATAAGTCCACTATGTATTACATGGTTCAAGATATTAAATCAACGAGCCCATAACCCCGTATATTGCAACCAAAGTAGAGGTCAGAAATATCTATTCAATTTACAGTTGTATTTATGTAATACTAGCTGTGCCCGCGATGTCACCCGCGTGAAATTTCAATACAAAATATAGTCTATGTGTTATTTTGATGCATAAGCTATATTACTGTAAAGTTTAAGCAAAATCCGTTGAGTAGTTTTTGAGTGAAAGAGTAAAAAACATCCATCTATACTCACAAATTAAAAAGCGTTTAGAATAGAATAGAAAATCATTTATTCAAATAAACTTAATGAAGAACTTTTGAATAGTCAACATTTTTTTAAATCTACCGCTTATTCGGAAAGCTGTCTCATCACAAGAATAATAAGCAAGAAACTTGTGTGTTGCTCTTTTAAACAATCCTTGTAAGTTCACATTCTACAAGTCGAAACGTGTGAATACAAACTACCAACCAGCACTAATTTATTTAGGCTCGAATATAAAAACACAATAAGATTAAATCAGTCGTAGTGATAAGAGCAGACCAGTCCCTACAAGCAGCACTCGTTCACGAGTATGACGGATGAGCCAGCCATCACTGCGCTCGACCATATTTTAGGGAGCCCAATGAGCCGGCCCACACGGCAACATATCTGGACATTTTAGTGATCATAACTACTCATTCCACTCGACCACGTCACAGCTACTTAAAATTACTATATGGTAGTTACAGTATTCGCACTTTACATGAGGATGCATGCGGCAATCATTGAATACAAAAGCCGCTACGCTATCATATATCAAGAAAGCAGTATGAAAAATAAATTATAACGTTGTCCGCAAATAAACTTATACTTGCTATATATTGCTATCATCTATAAATTCATCTATCTATTTATAATATAAAGATATCATAAATAATAACCTGTCTTCTGTCTTCTACCCAAATGTATATTTTTGTTATTGGATGACAATGGGACTGTTTGTACTATCCTTTTGTTCTTTTGAAAATGAAACAAATATTTTGTACTCCTGTAAAGGATCTTGTATTTTCCCTCCAATTAATTAGCTCAGAATGACATATTTAAAGTTAGTGTTCTGTGTTCTTTTTTTTTAAATTATATAATATAGCAAAATGAGGTTGCATACATTTATAAGTAACACCTAACGTCTTAGACAGTTATTGTGCTGCCGCCTGCGCTAATAGTATACGCTGGCGGGGCACCAGTGGAGGAAGATAAAGATCAGAATGAGGTCAAGTCAGTTAGGCCACCGTAATAAAATCACTTGGTTTCCAGGAGGAAACGCATCGAGAGCGACTCGACATGGTAAATTGCTAGCAATCGGTCCCCTGTATCCCTAGTCTCCATTACTAACAATCCTCACCCCCCCTTTTCCCCTTATTTTGTATTTCAATTTCAAATATCTTTATTAGGGATCATACGTCATGAAATAGAAATAATCTTTATTCAAATAAATACAATACAACTTAATATAAACAGTTTTGAATAGTCATATTTATTAATTCTACCGCTCATTCGGAAAGAAACTGGTGTGTGGCTGTTTCGAACAGATGTTATTTAAAATAAATAATTATACAATAACAAGTAAGAGGCATGCGATAATCAACACAGAAACCGCTATGACTATGACACTAATTCTTAGTGCAATCAGATAATATTGTCAGCGCTATGATTTTTTTTCTACAAAAACATTATTATCTGTTACAAACTCTTCAATTTTATAATAATCTTTATTACATTGATATTATTACGTAATCTTTTATTAGTGTGTATGTATGTGAAGGTCAGGTATTTTTTTTTAACCCTGGACCATTAACACAGCGACATCTAGTCCCATAGTAACAGAGCTTGTGTTATGGGTACTAGACAACTGATATGAATACATAGTTTTTTTTTTAAATATATACATAATATACATAGAAAATACCCAGAACGATACAAACAATCGTACTCACGAAAACAAATGTTTGCACCGTGTGAGGAATCGAACCCGCGACCATCGGAAGTAATGCAGTGTGTTAAACCGCTAGACTTCCGAGGCCGTCATGTAGTGTATTAAGGTTTAAATAAACAATACCTTCGTTACAGTGGTTCTTACGTTACCCTGCGCTGAAGACACAAGTCCGGCGCCAGCCCGTTACTCCAGCATCCACTCCATTTCCATGCGAGGATGCAGTTCGATGGGGGCGCAGTCCTCAGCCTCCAACCTCAGTCCATCGGCTACGGCCTGGAGATATTGACGTGATAGCTGCCCTGGGAGATTCCCTGATAGCAGGCAATGGAGCTTTAGAAGAATATGCGCTGGGAGCTCTTATTGAGCATAGAGGCGTTTCGTGGTGTGCAGGTCAGGTGTAATCTTCTTTATGAATTAATGTGCATGACTAGATGTTACTTAGTGGATTTATATTATTTTGTTTTATTCCTTTAAAATTTGTGTGACTATTCGGCGACAGATACATGGCTTCCAAGCTATATCCGAAGTCTATTTATTGCCTGATGATGCCTAGTTTAGAGTCGAAACACGTATCGCAATATGGGTGTAGATCTAATAACGGTCGTAAATAAGAGTAATGAAATGGCAAATTAGGACTATATAATATAACATTGTCGATTATGTAAGACCCAAGGGTAACCTGAGATTGAGAGTAACGCAGCTGGAGTCGAGACGCGAGTTTCAAGGAGTTTGTATTAGTTTTATAATTTTTATTCTTATGTATTTCTGTATATAAATTATTTATATTATGGGTCTAGTTGCCTGAAATAAATAAATAACTAAAGCAAATCTTTCAATAATTAAGTGAACAGGGGCGGACTAAAGCCTAGGTAATCTAGGCACGTATATAGGGCCCGTAATTTTTAACGAAAAATAGGCCGGGATTTTCAATGTTGTCTAGGGCCCGCTTTAGCTCTAGTACGCCACTGAACTGAACACAAATTTAATAATTTCCAGGTGGCGACAAGACATGGCGGGAGTACCTGACACTACCAAATATCCTAAAGGAGTTCAACCCTAAACTGAGAGGGTACTCCACGGGAACCGGAGAATGGTTCTCGAAGAATGCACGACTCAATGTCGCCTTCCCGGTAGCTTCGGATGAAGATGCCCTCAAACAAGCCAAGGTAGCCTTCAGAACAGTTCATAGATAAACTAGCTGACCTGGCAAACGTTGTTTTGATATATCAATTAATTTCGCTATTGAAAAAATGGTTAATTTATTAGGGATTGATAAAAGAAGGGTGAAATTTAGGGTTTATAGGGAAAATTTAGGCGTATTTGAGTGTTTTGACGGCCTCGGTGGTAAAGCGGTTTAACATGGTTCCCCCCGGAAACCATCTTGATAAAATTCCTGTGAATTTGTCACAATGGGCCAAGTGACCTGATCACATAGTCATCTTATCATATTCCACTGGTGCCCCACTAGTGTAAACCGCTAGCGCAGGCGGGTACATCAATCCATAATCATCCATAAAAAAACAGTGCATTGCTAGCTATGGGGTCATCAGTCCACTTCAAAAGTTTAACAAAAATTAATTTACAATTACTAATCAATAACAAGGAAATATACCAATTTCAACACAGTGTGTAGGGCCTACAATGAATATGAGGCTGTTAAGAAATCGGCTATTGGTTAAGATTCACTCGTTACTTTTTCATCAGTTATCTACTACCCATAACACAAGCTTTAGCTAGCTTAGCTTGGGGCTAGGTGGCGCAGTGTGAATTGTTCTGAGATTATTATTATTATTTAATAGTAAATATACTATTAATTACAAACTATAGATGAGTGAACAAATATTACGTTAGATCGATCGAATAGATTTTTAAAGTCTGTTCGTTAGGTTGCGTATTTAAATTGGATGGGTGTGCGCTCCAATCAGAACGTTTCCTTTGTTGCTGTTGGTACGCCACATTATTATTATCGTAATTATTCTTAGAATGAATCTTCTATTATCAGATAATTGTAGCACGCATGAGAGCATCGCCGGATATAGATATCGAGAAGCACTGGAAGATGATAACAGTATTCCTGGGAGACAATGATATTTGTTCAGCGTCCTGCACATCACCAGTAGCGTGGTCACCATCCGCCCACGCAAAGAAGCTGTCCAAAGCACTAGACTACCTGCATACACACCTACCGAGGACCATAGTCAACCTAGTGCCAGTATTGGGTAAGTAATCTTGAGTATAATTCCATAATTTGACGGACTCGGTGGTCTAGCGGTTATAAAGATCACCTCACTTCCGATGGTCGCGAGTTCGATCCCCGCACGCTACAAACATTTGTATTTATGAGTATTCAAATTCCAAATTCAAAAATCATTTATACATGTAGGACATTTTAGCCGGTTATGAACGTATTTTTTTTAATATTATAATTTTGTATGATTGTTTGAGTGTTTTCTATTTATACTATGTACTATAGATATGTATTAACAAACAAATGCTCTTTCGGAACGCAAACTCATTACAAAAAGAACGAGAAAGATACTTTGAATATTGCACTTTAAAATAAATGTGTTTTGCATTACATGTTTAAGATTTGTTGTGAATGTCAACCTCGGTGGACTAGCGGTTTAGCACATAGCTTTACTTACGGTGATAGCGGGTTCGATTCTTACCATATAAGCATTTGTATACATTAGTTGATTGTTTGTATTAGTATGTAATATTATGTTATCTGTGTGTGTTCTATAAAAAATATATATAGAATCAAGGATGCCACAGACAAAAATACAGGTACACGTAAAGTGCTTAAATATACGTTTGTTTGAATAAAGAATTTTCTATTCTGTTCCCGAACAGATTTATTTAATTATTTATTCTTTTACACACAAAATTATATACATGACTTGATTCATGTCATTTTCTACCAGTCAGCCGTAGCCGTACCAGTTAACCAGTGATATTTATCTTTATTTATAAATTATATATATATTTGACAGCCTTGGTGGTCTAACGGTTTAGCCCACAGCTTTACTTCCAATGATCGCTGGTTCGATTATTCGCACGGTGCAAACATTTGATTTCATGACTGTTCATATCGGTCTACGTGTTTTCTATGTATACATTTATAAAAATACATATAGGTATTTATATAAGTTGTCTAGTACCCATAACACAAGCTCTACTTACCGTGACTAGATGGCGCTGTGTTAATTGTCTAGGGTTATTTATTTATTTATTGGATAGACGTGTCGGTGTCTGTGCGCGTGGTCCGCTCCCCGATGTGCCGCGCTCTGCACTCGTTGTTCTGCGCGTGCTTCCACCAAGGACGAGGCGGCCGTGAGCTGCCCGACCTCGTGCACATGTCCACACTCTATCAGAAGGCTGAAGCCACGCTGGTCAGTATATTCAATTCAAAATATCTTTATTAATTCAGATTTGGCTCTACATGTTGTGCGAATAGAGTTAATATTACATTACATTCACTGTTTATCACTCTGGCAACAGCCAAGAGCATTACAATAATTGGAAAAAAAAATATTGTGTGTTAAAAATTACAATTGCAGTAGTTTATGTGTCCGTTTATGGTCATAGGTGCATTAATGATGAATTACCAAGGTTGAATTTGGCGCTTGAACTTGAACTTCCTCACCTAGATGTAAAAGATCATATTACAAAAGCTATACTAATATTATAAAACTGAAGAGTATGTTTGTTTGTTTGGACTCGCTAATCTCAGGAACTACTGATTCGAATTGAAAAAATATTTTTGTGTTGGATAGTCCATTTGTCGAGGAAGGCTTTAAGCTATATAACATTACGCTACTACCAACAGAGGCCCAGCATCAGTGAAAAATCTTGCAAAAACGGAGAAAATTATTCATATTTGAGGGCTTTCGTTGGGTGCGCTGCGTAAACGGTTCAAGTTACCCAAAAAATATGTATTTAGTGTTTTTGATAACCACGCGAACGATGTCGCGGGCATAGCTAGTCATGTATAAAACAATATAATAAACAGTTATATAAAAAATATAAACAGCCCCGTGTATATACAGTGGACCCCCGGTAGTCCGACAATCATTTTGCAGGGCAGTGTCGGACTATCGAATTTGTCGGATTATAGAGTACTGCCTAAGACCCCTTATAGTCCGAATTTTTTTACAAAAGAGTACCTTGTAATCCGACAAACGTTTTAGATGTCGCACCATCGTATTTTTCGGATTATATACATATACAGTGGTCCTCTGCTTATAGTCCGAATTTTTTACGTTTTGTAATCCGACAAATTACAGATCCAGTGATAAGATTTATGTTATATATGTATGTATGTATATGCACTCTGAAGTATATTGTCAATGTAATATTCAATAACAAATAATAGACAATGTCGGATTACAATCCGGATTAGACAGGGGCCGGATTACCGCAGGTCCACTGTATCATCATCATCTGCTTCTTCCTTATATATATTTGGGGTCGGCGTAATATGTTTTTCGCTTCCATTCATATATTCGCAGTCATCGCGTTATTTAATATTCAATATCAAATCACACAGTCCATCAATCTCGGATTACTCTGCCCTTATAACCATCCACATTCATTTGTAACATCTTTCTTAAAACGCGGGTCCAAGGTATATTGTTTTATATATGACATACCCTGAGATCCTAACGCCCATAAAGTCCATTAAATACATTACCTTTGTACAATATCAGGTGGAGAGTGGTCGTTACGACACTCGTGATGACTTCACCGTGGTGTGGCAGCCGTTCATGAAGCTGTTCAACGCCCGGCTCCCCCTCAAGAAACCGCTGCCGTTTGCCATTCACCAGTCGTACATCACGCACGATTGCTTCCACTTCTCGCAGAAGGGACATGCTTTGGGTAATATTTCCAGTTGGATCCGATTTTGACGGGAGTTTTTTTAAACAAGCTCGGTAAGTTTTCCTTATTACATCAGCTGGTTGTGTCAAAATTGGTCCCCGTTTCAGAGATAGCCAGAACAAACAGACAGACAGACAAAAATTGTAACAAATGTTATTTTGATATATACGTATTTATATTCATATGCATGTAGTAAAAAACGGTTATTTCAATATTACAAACAGACACTCCAATTTTATTTATATGTATAGTATAGATGTATACTCTAGAATAAATAATAATAATTTATTGAAAAACTGTTTGTTGTACAGCTGCGAACCTACTGTGGAATAATTTATTGGAACCAGTCGGGAACAAATCAGACAACGTGCCACCAGTTCTGATGCGGGAGTTCCGCTGTCCATTACCAGGAGCACCTTACATCTTCACAGCTAAGAACTCCAAGAGCTACCTCCTCACTGGCACACAAGACATTGATTCGTGACTAACGTGACGTATTACTATCAAATACTGCCTTTACACGTACGCAATTTCACGCGCGTTACTGTCGATTCCCCGTCCAATTCAAACGGGGATCGAAATTACGACCACCTGGGCCGAGGTTCATTGCCCCTAGCACATCAAACTAAATGTCGTATCCGTAAATGTTATAAGTTCATAGATTTATTAATGCAACTTATCATTCGTTGAAGCTGTAAAGACCAGCTGCAACAAACAGCATTAGAGTAGTCCGAAGATAACGCGCATTCCGCGTTTCACGCAGGAAACAATGTGCATGTAAATGTAGGCACCGCATACTTCAATCGTGAGCGTTTTGTAATAATTAATTATCCTTGTAAAATGCGGACATCTGATTATGGAACAATCCGAAAAAAAAACGCGCATTCCGCGTTTCACGCAGGAAACAATGTGCATGTAAATGTAGACACCGCGTACTTCAATCGTGAGCACACATAAATAATTATCCTTCTAAAATGCGGACATCTGATTATGGAACAATCTGAAAAAAAAACGCGCATTCCGCGTTTCACGCAGGCAATGTGCATGTAAATGTAGACACCGCGTACTTCAATCGTGAGCGTTTTGTAATAAATAATTATCCTTCTAAAATGCGGACATCTGATTATGGAACAATCAAAAAAAGTCGTATCCGTCACGCAGGAAACAATGAGCATGTAAATGTTCATCCGCAGTATTTCAATCGTGAGCGCTTTGTAATAATTAATTATCCTTCTAAAATGCGGACATCTGATTATGGAACAATCCGAAAAAAAAACGCGCATTCCGCGTTTCACGCAGGAAACAATGAGCTTGTAAATGTAGACACCGCATACTTCAATCGTGAGCGTTTTGTAATAATTAATTATCCTTGTAAAATGCGGACATCTGATTATGGAACAATCCGAAAAAAAAACGCGCATTCCGCGTTTCACGCAGGAAACAATGAGCTTGTAAATGTAGACACCGCGTATTTCAATCGTGAGCGTTTTAGCGCCATTTTGTAATTAATTATCATTGCAAAATGGCGAAAATCTAATTACGGAGTATAGATATAATTATAGAGTTATTGATAGTTTACAAATCTTAAAAATCAGTAAAATACAATATTTAAAAAAAAGTGAAATGACATAAAATATATGCGCAAAAATGCACAAAAGAGTGAAACAAAAAATTGTTAAGTGTGATCCATCACGATTGCGCGCGCTGTCTTTCCCGCGCTAAATCGCGCGCGCTCCAGATAGCGCGTGAAAGAACGTGTAGTGTAAAGGCAGATATTAGCGACTGAAAATATATAATTCAATAATAGAATAATCATAGAACGATATAAAAAACAGTTAAATGTGATCCTACACGATTGCGCGCACTGTCTTTCCCGCGCTAAATCGCGCGCGCTCCAGATAGCGTGAAAGAACGTGTAGTGTAAAGGCAGCTATTAGCGACTGAAAATATATAATTCAATAATAGAATAATCATAGAACGATATAAAAAACAGGATTATCGACTTTAAAGTTATGTCTTAAAGTTATCTTTAACTTGAGTTGCATAGTATAATGTGGTGGTTTATTAACCTGATACACACCTAAGATGTCGTGAGTTCAATTTTGTTTGACAATAAAAACAAATATCTTTATATGTCTGTGACTTGAAACAAATAAAATAAAACTATTCTAACCTACTCCTTTTAACATTATATATCTGTAAGTGAAAGTCCCGTCAAAATCAATCCAGCCGTTTTAGAGATTTATAATAACAAACAGACAGGCAAAGAATTGAAAATTAATTTTGATGTAAGTACTGTATATACATTTAGTGAAAAGCTGTTGAATTTCAAATTACAAACAGAAACTTTAATTTAATTTATTTGTTTAGATTAATTAATTCTTGATTTATAAATATAATATTTTTTTAAAATATTATGTTTATAAATGCCTATCCATAAGCAAACGTATTAAATATATCTATGTATAATATTCTTCTGTTTATATAATAAATTGGAAATAGTTTTTTGAATTTCAAATTCATAGGTTTATATATACATACACATATAATAATATAATAAACATACTAAACCACAGATAAGGTAAATAAAACTAAAGTTACTTTTACATTTACATTATAACTCAAATATAATACAACTCTACTATTTCTTATTACCTACAAAATTCATTCAGACCTCCTGGTAAGAGCTGAAACAGTCAGGAAAGAAAACAGTGGACCAGGAATCAAATCTGGTACCCCCTGAAACCAGTGATGTACTAACATCTCCGGTGCATTATGTAAATAAATGTCGATAAAATATTTTTTGGTATTGCTGGTGCCATTTTGTCATATATTTAAATACCAAATATTTATTTTATAAGTGAAACTGAGTTACCTGTAAGAAAAATCGTGAATATTGTAACATTTTGTTGAATAATAAATTGTAAACAATATAAATATTGTCTTTTTAATTTTATTTAAAACCTTATTATTTTTTTAATTCAATTCTAATAGAAAATTACTGTGTATAAACGTTTATTTTTTTCGTGGATGGTAATAGAATGGTGCACCTACCTACGCTAACAGTTTGTGCTGACGGGGCGCCAATGGAGGATGATAAGATGAACATGAGATGATAAGATGTATATGAATCATGATGGTTTTTAGGGAGTACCGCGTGGAGGTCAACCTAATATGGTACAATGCAAGCAACGGGATCAACAGTACACTTTACTTACAATCCTCTTTCACTCCACTTTTTCTATATTCAAGGTAATCACATGCATTACAAAATATGACAAATAAAAAAATATATATTTGAAAAACTTTGAGAAATAATAGATATACCCACGATTTCGTTTGATTTTACCTTTTACATTTAGAACGTAGATCTTCATGTTGCATATTGTTAAAATCTGTTCAGCCGTTTAGTAGTAAGAAGGTATTAAACAGGCAAACACACTTTCCAATAATATTAATATAGATAGAGCGAGGATTACGTTATAGAGTTCAATATTCTGTTGTATCATACATAGAATTCGGTATAATCATTTCATTTATATTTAGCGCCTGATGTAATTGAATAGCAATTGTGTTTAAGTGTGTCTCATTTTATTAAGAATTATTTAGTCATATTTTGTGGAAAGGTGTCTCATCAACTGGATAGTTTAAAAAATAAACTGAACAGTGTTGGATGATATCCAATATATTTTAAATGATGGTATTAGTCATAACATATTGCTATACCACGCCAAAACTCATGACGAAGAACTCAGAACTAACATCCCGTGAAGTTCATTTTTGCTAAAAGTATCTAATGTCGAATCTGAGAATATTTATCGAACGTATTATATAAATATAATAGAAGTATAAATTATGTGGTCACGTGATCGATTTAAATCGATCACGTGACCACAAAGTTTAAACGGAGAAATAAAAACGGTATTTTATTTCTGAACAATATTCTCAAAATGCGGCAACATCTGAGAATAATTATCGAATCTCTCATATTAAATCGATAACGTGACGATGCAAACACTTAACAAACCCTCCATGAAACAATTCGTTTAATAAACAGTCTGGACAATTAACACAGCGCCATTTAGATAGGTAAGTAGAACTTGTATTACTCGACAACGGATATAAATACTCAGTAGTAAATTTTTCTTTTAGTAATAAATCATACTCATGAATACAAATATTTGCAACGATCTCGCCATCGAACCTGCGACTATGAGAAGTAAAACGGTATGCTACATCGCTGGACCACCGAGGCCGTCGTGTTTAGTTTTATGTATATACTAGCTGATCCCGCGACTTCGTCCGCGTGGAATTTAACTTTATTTTTCTAAAATAAAAGTAGCCTAAGTTACTCCTTATTACATCAGCTAACTGCCAATAAAAGTCCCGTCAAAATCGGTCCAGCCATTTCAGATATTAGCCGGAACACACGGACCGACAGACAAAAATTGTAAAAAATGTTATTTTGATGTATGTACCGTATTTATATTCATATGCATGTGGTAAAAAACAGTTATTTCAATATTACAAACAGACACTCCAATTTTATTTATATGTATAGATATATATCTAACAGTTTATACTCTGACGGTGCACGGGATGGACGAATAGGCATGAGATGAAGATAAAGTCAGCCCAATATGGCGAATTCACTACGAATTATCCGCGATAGAGATCCAACAATTAATTATCAATTAATACCTTGCGTAATTGCACTCTATACATACATATTTGCAACAATTATATAAAAAACTATATTGCACAGTGGCTAGACCATTAATTAGTCTATGGGCTAGACACATCCAGACTATTCGTGTAATATTTTAGTCGTTCGTGACATTGATAGACAGAAGTCATGCATATTATTATACGCATCGCTTCCGCCGTCAGCCCCGCCTCGAAGCCCAGCCTGTCCTCGTTTGGCTCGGAGTAAACGATACTGAAATTAGGCAAAGGCATTCATTGTATTATGTATTAAAATCTATTTTTCTTTCCATAAAGTAAGATGTTTTTATCTTTACTCGACTAAGGATATTTTTTTTTTATGTACGTACTCGTATCAGTTGGGCTATTTGGCAGTTTGTATTCATAAGTTTGCTTTAGGTATAAATAGAAATAGAAATAATCTTTATTCAAATAGACTTAATATAAGCACTTTTAAATAGTCGAGTTTTTTTATTCTACCGTGTATTCGGAATGCAGATTCATCACAAGAAGAATAAGCAAGAAACTTGTGTGTTGCTCTTTTAAATAAATATTGATTTAATTATATTTAATTAATAACAAGGATTAGACATGCGACACTCAACATAGAAACCGCTACGCACTTAAACTCTGTTCAATCAGATAATACTGTCAGCGCTATGAATTTTAAGTTAGATATTTTCCACAAAAACATTATTATCATTTATAAATTCTTCAGTTTTATAATAAGCTCGTAAAGATAACAATATACATAAAAAATACTTAAAGTCGCTTAAAATAGGAACAGGCAAGTTTATTATGATTATCCAATTTTCTTGGCTGAATCTGTATTCCAACGACGACGAAAGAAATTAACGACTATTCAAAAGTACAATCAATTAGGTACCTTTTAAAAGTACATATTAAATCAATATTATGAAATTATTTCTATTCTCGTCTATTACCAGGCTTGCTAGGAGGCGTAACGAACCTCTGTAACAAGTTTGAGTATGGATTGTATGATGATTGTATGTATAAATCGAGTTATACATACATATAGGAGTGGTACTACACTACAAAACTCTCAATTTAAAGCGTCACTAGTGTGACATAATCTAAAATCACAGAGCAATTTCCACAGAACAAAACAAAACTAATTCTGTATTCTGTGGTAATTTCAAATCCGTATTTTTCCCGCCAAATATCATATTTTAACTAACTATGCAAGCATAATTGTGATGGAAATGATAGAACAAAATTTAGTAAGAATTTCTGGGTAATATTTAATTAAAAAAATAAAAATGGCGGCTAGAAATACATATATTAATAACTAAGTACAAGTATCTGATATTTTTTTAACTATTAATTGGCATCGGCATTACGCATACGTCTATCTTTGTTTTCAATATGATCACTAAAAAACAAACATTTAAAAGAAGTTCGATTTACGCTCGTTTATTTAGATAGTTAATAGTATAAATAATGATTATTGCTGTTTCAATAACGCCTACCCGATCGAATATGTCCAATGCATTTATTTCTAACATGGCACCGTACACGTGCAGTAACAATCAATTGGCGGCCTTATTGACACCGCGAGTTCGGTTATTGTACTTGGCTCTTTATTTATCTAAGGAAATTATGTTTTTCTTTTAATGACGGCCATTGCGAAAACAAATTGATATAATATATGAATTAAATTAAATATAAATTGACTATATAGCATGAGTAAAAGTACTGTAATGGTAGGAAAGGGATCGCAATGTACCATGTCAGGTTGACCGCCATGCGGTTCCCCTTGGATGCCATCGTGATAAATTCTGATTGAAATTATCACGATGGGCTAACCTGACCTGACCTCTTGCTCATCTTATCATCCTCCACTGGTGCTCCGCCAGCGTAAACCGATAGCGCAGACATAGTAACATAGTAAAATGGATCTTCAAAAAATTATCACTTCATTAATTGTTTTTTTTTCTATATTTTGTAATTTATGAATATATCTGAGATGATAAAACACATACAAAACCAAAAAGTATTTACGTACATAAACAGGAAACAGCAAAGAAGCATATAAATGACTTAATTAAATTTTATTTTCTGTTATAAATACATCTCCGTTTAATTGACTTACTTATTTCGTAGTACTTAGTAACTGAGTAAGCCATGTGGCTTAAGGTTTATTAGTTGCAATTTGTGCAGCCACACTGTGGTACAGTTACTGTTCAAAGATCGGTTTCACCAATAAGCCCACCAAAAAATAAGCTTCGCGTGGTCACACTATACTGTCTGGCTAAGTGAGTCACCGCCTTATTCTGGTATAACGTCTAATAAACGTACAAACAAAGCAAGCAAGCAAATCTAAACCTTATTGTACAGACTTTTAAATCGATTTATTTTAATAACAAAATAGTTTATGATTCATATTAATTCGTATAGTTTTTCTAAATCTTTTCTATATATATATATATTTTATCTTTTTATGAAACAAAGTACCCCGCTGAATCTGTGTATAAGTTTGCTATAATCTCAATTTTGGATTGAACAATTGAATATGAACGGATTTTCATTCGGTTTACATGCATCAATAGAGCATTTCTTCAGGGATATATTATAGAGTAATTGCTCTATTGATGCATGTACATTTAGGTGTATAATTCTTTGAAGTTTTATATAAATTGGTTGAAATATTCTATAGAAGTCGGAATAATCAAAAGTATGAGGGTTTTCATCGAAAAAGGTTTTTAATTGCTGAGATCAAATATGAGAAAACAATATATGCTTCCACTACGTGTCTCTTTTATAGAACAGATTATTATATCTATTTTAAATTTCTAAAAATCACTGATCAATGACTAATGCTTCACTGTGGTCTGAGTAATCTGACATTCCACCCTCTTATTTCTAACTGGTGAACCTCCAGCGTATACTATTTTTTAAATGGATGATAATGGAATGGTGCACCTGCCTGCGCTAACGGTATACGCTGGCGGGGCACCAGTGGAAGATGATAAGATGAGTATACGGTCAGTTTGCCTATTGTGGCGAATTAACCAGGAATTTAACATGCTATTTTCCAGGGGGAACCGCATGTCAACCTGACATTGCTATGACTGACTGACTGTATTGCTAGGAAAAGGGTCATTAATTCACATTACTGAACAACCCCTCCCCCATAGTGTAACTGGGTTAAGTAGTCAGTTAGTTTATAATAATAATAAAAAGACTATGAATCCTCAGGAATTAACCACGATAGTTTCCAGGGGGATCTGCATGGAGGTCGACCTTATAAGGTACATTGCTAGTAATGGGGTTATTAGACTACATTACATATATATGTAGTATATAGTAGAGTATACCAGCGTTAGCAACATTAGATTATGTAATAAGTGAAATGTAACTTTACTATGATGCTCAATGACATGCTCATCCGTCATACTCGTGAACGGGTGCTGCTTGTGGGGACCGGTCTGTTTGGGTTACGAATACTGATTAGACTATTTGCTTTTCCAAAAGCACACGGGTGGTCACTATATTCTCCTAAATTTGAATTTAAAAATGAATGTATTATTGTAAACTTGTACAACATTTATTTGAAAATTTTGAGCGATATTTTAAAATAATATAAATACGAGCTGAGTTTCTTCTCAGTTCTTCTCATCTCGAAATCATTCCGAACTGACGGTAGATTTGACATATCATAACAGTCTGTAATAGAACTAAATGAATAAAGATATTTTGAGTTTGAATTTGAGACATCGAAACTATCTAGGTATTCAGAATAGTCCCGGCGCGATTTACAACTATTATAAAAACAGGCGGCGCCGCGCCGGGCGCACAGTCCGGCCCGGTGTGTTGCCTTACCAACCCGCTACGCCTCTCGCTCCTCGCTCGCTCTCTTTACAGCTTTTACAACCCTACACGAAAAATGGTAAGTTTTTTATTTCCACTTTTCGAAAACTCCAAAAAATGCAAATGTTATTTTTTTAATTTCCACTTTTCGAAAACTGCAAATAAAGTAAATGTATTTTTTTTATTCTACAAAAAAAATTGTTTTATTTTGAATTATTCTAAAAGCAAATGTAAATTGATGTTTTTATTGTCCAAAAAAATATGTACTACCGTTTATTTTAAAAATGAAGAAATTGTTGAGGAACTCTTTATTTTATTTTGTTTTGTTCCTTACTATTTTTTTAATTTGTTTATTAGTAATTAAAATATAAATCAAAATTGTATATATTAGAAATAGGATTACTTTCATTTTTAAAAAATAAAGACAATTAAAAATAATCGAAAATTATTAAAATTAATCTGTTAACAAGCAAAATTGAATCATTTTACTTCTTATTGTAAAATATATTCTTAGAGATTCAGAGAATAATTCTTAACAGTTGCTTTTAAGTTTCAATTGAAAGTTTCGTAGATGAGGTTTTACTTGTGGTTTAACGAATTAGAAATATTTAAAACCTATAACAAGATATATTTTGGTAGAGAAGAACGGTGTTGAGTTACGACTTGAATGTTTTACGTCAAAATAAATTAAATCAGAAATACTAAGTAAGACTAAGCATTTAGATTTGTTACCATGTGTTACCAAATTATATTAATTGTCACTGAATTACACTAACATGTACATTTTATAGTTAAAATAGAATAGAATAAAAAATCCTTTATTCAAACAAACTCAAATTTAAAAGTCATACTTCATTTTTCCAATAAGCCGCTCATTCGAAAAGCTGTCTCATCACATGAAGAACTAGCAAGAAGCTTTAAAAATTGTTGTAACTTTACATTTTTAATTTAAAATGTGTGACTACAAACTACCAAAACTAATAAAAAAAAAAACAGAAATGTGGTAATCCGGTAATTTTTAAAATATACGTTCAACTGGAAACATAAAGAAACTTATGTTTGTATGAAAAAGAAAGGAAAATTTCTATTTTCCCTGTAATCACACAATAGTTTTACATCTAAGTTTGAATCTAATTCATAGTTTCCTATTGTAACACTATTATTATGGAAATAACATTAATGGTCTACATGAAATAATTTCAGTACCTCACGTAATAAATTGCTCCATTTGGCAATTTCAAGAGTTTCAAGGCTGATACAAGTTTAGCTATTTGACTGAAACTGTAAATGGACACGATACGCTACATTACAATGCTGAAATTTAATGTATCTGTTTGTAGGGAGATTAATCCTGAAATCTAAATATATATAACTCAAACGTGACTGACATAGTGATCTATAAACGCACAGTCCAAACCACTGGGCGGATCGGGCTGAAATTTGGCATGCAGGTAGATGTTATGACGTAGGCATCCGTTAAGAAAGGATTTTGATTAATTCTACCCCCAAGGGGATAAAATAAGGGATGAAAGTTTGTATGAAACTTTGTCAATTTTAAACCGATCGGGCTGAGATTTTGCATTCATAAAGCTACTATGACGTAGACATCCCCTAAGAAAGGATTTTGATAAATTCCTCCACTAAGGGGATCGAGCGAAGATGCGGGCAAAAGCTAGTAAAGTATAAAACAATTTCGCTTCCTGTTGTCTGTCTGTACCTATGTATGTTTTGGTCTTAAAAAACTACGCGGATTTTGATTTGATGTTTAAGCTATATAACATCACACTACTGAGCACGTATCTTTAATCACGCGATAACCTATAGTCCACGCGGGCGAAGCCACGGCCGGAAAGCTAGTAAAATATAAAACATAGTTGCTAATTTGACTTTTGGCAAATGACTTACGAATCCCAATATATAGTAAGCTGAATAATTGAATAATATTTTGAGTCTACTCAACGATGTAGTTAGTCGCTTTCGGATCTAGACATATTTACTTGTAATTTGCTGGAAACGGGTAGATTAATTATGTTAAATGGGGATTGTTTATTATTATTACTTTTGTTTTGCGCTTATATATTTAGTACGATGTAAATAAATAAATAAATAAATAATATTTTGAGTTAGGCGTTCCAGGAAAACCAATTATAGGTTGTTTATTTAACTTCGCTTATATATTTATAGCATGTATGCAATTGTTACTGTGATTCATTGTTATAAGAACACTGCACGTGTATATTTACGAAATAATATTTTATATTTCAATATATAATTATACTAGCAGACCCGGCCACGCGTTGCTGTGGCTAAGGTTCTTGAATAAAATAATATTGCGACTATAAATTGAGATGTAAGCTATCCTATCTTTCAAGTTGGATCAAATTGCACACAATGTACAAATCAATTTGCATTCGGTTCAGTAGTTTAGAAGTCCATCGCGGACGAACAATGTGACACGTAATTTTTATATACAAATATTTATTAATAATTGTTTAAAATATTTTTTTATAGCGACTTTATAATTGCTGGAATTTAATCAAAAAGATTAAAATCTAATTGAGATTTTTTCAAAATGAAAATGTATTGTTTTATTATTAGCTGTAACATCGTCCGCGTGGTATTTATTTACCTGCCAATAAAAGTCTCGTCAAAATCGGTCCAGCCTTTTCAGAGATTAGCCGGAACAAACAGATAGACAGACAGACAAAAATTGTAAAAAATGTTATTTAGGTGTATATACCATTCATATGCATTTAGTAAAAAACGGTTATCTCAATATTACAAACAGACAGTCCCGTTTTATTTATATGTATAGATAATAGTTACGAGTATGTTTTTTAATTAATGATATTGGAAAGGTATAAAAGATGAATATGATGACGTCAGGTCAGTTAGCCCATACTGACAAATTCATCAGGAATTTATAAGGATGGCTACCAGGGGGAACCGCGTGGAGGTCAATCACCGAGGCTGTCTATTGCTAGTAATGTACCATACATTGCTGCGTGCGAGGAATCGAACCCGCGATAGAACAGCGAGGCCGTCAACTTAGTTAACATCTGCATTTTCAGCCGCCATCTATGCTTTTGCTTTCGAACTGCTCTAATGATCTTGGCTCAGCTGGCTTTTTCAGCTTCACCGGACGATAGAGAGCGAGTTTAGATGGCACTCCAGAACATGCAGAAGGGCTTGTGGAGCGGCTGAAGGTCCACTCCCGCCTGACGCATACGACTTTAGTCTGAGGACACCGAAGTAGGGGTTCGAACCTCCGCTCGGGCCGTCGTAATCTCGATCCCTGTTTGAATTGAACGTGGGATCGATCGGATAGTTTCCAAATCCACAAACTTTACTTTATTTACTTCATAATATTAATTCATAGATTTATAAATCTACTAATGACCTGCCTCGGTTTTGCCTATAAAATTAGTTTAGACTAAGGATTAAATTACTTTCTGGTTATTTATAAATCAGGTAAGCAGTAGTTACAGCCGATTGAGCGTGACCACAAGTGGTCAACGAAACGGTCGACGGTCACCACACCGTCTCTTATTATCTTGAAATAAACGTATACCTACTATTATTACATAGTATAAAATAAAGTTGCTGTCGCTGTCTGTCCGTCCCAATATGAGTCCCTATATGTATGCTTCAATCTTTAAAACTACGCAACGGATTTTGAAGCGGTTTTTTTCATAAATAGAGCGATTCTAGAGGAAGGTTTATATATATAATACATGTACACCCGTGCGAAGCCGGGGCGAGTAGCCAGTAATAAATATAATGATAGAATATATCTTAATGTTATATATAAATATAATGATAGAATATATCTTAATCTTATATATAAATATAATGATAGAATATATCTTAATGTTATATATAAATATAATGATAGAATATATCTTAATCTTATATATAAAATTCTCGTGTCACAGTTTTCGTTCCCATACTCCGAAACGGCTTGACCGATTCTCATGAAATTTTGTGAGCGTTTTGAGTAGGTCTGAGAATCGGCCAACATCTATTTTTCATCCCCTAAATGTTAGTCTACCCCTAATTTTTTTTTTTTTTTAACACTTTTGCCGGGACAGCTAGTAATATTATAAACGCGAAAGTTTGTAATTACGGATGATTGTTGCTCTTTCACATAAAAACTACTGAACGGATTTTGATGAAACTTTACAGTAATATAGCTTATACATCAGAATGACACATAGGCTATATTTTATAAATTATAAGAGAAGTTAATGCTGATGAAACCGCAGGTACAGCTAGTATATATGCCTTCACGGTTTATGTGAGAAAGTGAAGCTATTATTTATTTATTAATCGTGGTAATTACAATGTTCCGACGGTCACGTACAGAGATAATTTGAATACAATGACTTCGTGGCGACTGTGTGGTTGTCTGTTCAACTCGGCACTTTATTAGTAATCACCACCAATGCAAAATAACATAGTGCAAACCTTATTTCCACTACTTATGCTAAATCTTATTAATATTAGGGCCGGGGCGAGTAGCTAGTGATAAAAAAAATCTTAATATACAATTAATAACAAACAAAAAAAATATACTCAAAGGTGACTGACATAGTGATCTATCAACGCACAGCCCAAACCACTGCACGGATCGGACTGATATTTGGTATGCAAGTAGATGTTATGACGTAGGCATCCGCTTAGAAAGGATTTTGATTAATTCTACCCCCAAGGGGATAAAATAGGGGATGAAAGTTTGTATAAAACTTTGTCAATATTAAACCGATCGGGCTGAGACTTTGCATGCATAAAGCACTACTATGACGTAGGCATCCCCTAAGAAAGGATTTTGATAAATTCCACCCCTAAGGGGATAAATTACCGTTAGCGAAGCCGCGGGCAAAAGCTAGTTATGTATAAATCCAAGAGTATATCTTAATAATATTATAAATGCGAAAGTTTCCATGTATGCATGTTTGTTACTTTTTCACGCAAAAACTACTGAAGGAATTTTGATGAAACTTTATAGTAATATAGCCTATACCAAAAAGAAGTCGGTTTCGATGTCTGTTCGCTTAGAACTTTTAAACTATGCAAAGG